AGGTTTAGCAGGATCATGGAACTGGCACAGGACTGGGCCGTGTTTCATTCTGCTGTATATAGGGTCACTATGAGTCGCAGATGACTCAACAACACCAACAACAACAACAACAAGTTATAACTCCAAGGTAGCTATACTAGAGATGACTATCACAGCTTACCCCACCCATCTTTCTTCTCAACTAAAAATACTTCTCTATAGTCCTGATTCCTTCTCTTATACCAAACTTCCAATTCAAAGAAGCCTAGCCAAAGCTAAATTCACAAAAGTAAAATATAAGATTATTCATGACCTTGCCGAGTTATTTCAGGTCATGCTCAATTTCAGTAACAAGAGAAAGTCAGTCAAGAAAGGCAAGAATATTACAGATACGTAAAACATAATAGACACATTGAGGAGAGAAAAGAATGGCTGATCCCCAAAACCGTCTGCCTTTTCTCAGGTCTGGCTAATCTCCGGGAGCTCTGGTGGAGTAGTGCCTAAGGCATTTGACTACTAACCAGAAGGCTGGTGGTTCAAACCCACCAGCCACGCCTTGGAAGGAAGGTTAGGCGATGTACTTCCATAGTGATACTGCCTCAGAAACCCAAAGAGGTGTTGCTATGAGTCAGATCTGACTCGACAGTGGTTTATTTGCTTTTTTTCGGTTTTTGCTAATCTCCATTTCCTGAGTTTCTATAATATGCAGCCCCTTAATGACCCTCTCTTTACTTAGAAGTTACTTGAGTAAGTCTGTTTCTTGAAAAAAAGAAAAAAAAAGGGCATAATTAGAACACTTACAATAAATAAAGATTTGAGTCACCAGTTAACTATAAAGAATTAAAATTAACAATTATATTATTCTTTAGATCATATGATTAATCTAAGCATATGAACTGAAAAACCAAAGTAGTAAAAGAACTTGGTTTTTCAACCTAATCAAGTTCTAGTGGCACCCCTGGAATCAATATACATTCAGATCAGATGTTTATATAATTACATTACAGCATACAACAATAAGAGATGCTAATGATAATACTTTCACATTATCAGAAAGAAAAATGTTAACATAAATTCACTAGCCTATTTAAAAAATGCAGGAGTACATCAAAGGACTTTATCAAGAAAGTAAAGAGACAACTTACAAAACAGGAAAAAAATATTTGGGAACCCTATATCTATCTGCAAGTGCTATGGTGGCATAGTGTCTAAGGCATTTGACTGCTAACCAGAAGGCTGGCAGTTCAAACCCACCAGCCACTCCTCGGAAGGAAGATTGGGAAATCTACTCCTGTAGAGATAATACCTCGGAAACCCAAGGAGGGGTTGCTATGAGTCAGGACCAACTTGACAGCAGTGAGTTTAGTTTTTCTTTCTTTTTTTTTTTGGTGTATCTATCTGCTATGGCTTTAATATCTAGAATATATAAAGCCGTCCTACAACTAAATACAAAGACAAACAAATTTAAAAATGGGCAAGGATTTGGACAGACATTTGTCTAATGTCATCTCTATATACAGATGACCAATAAAGACATGAAAAGATCCTCATCATTAGTCCTTACCAAAACCCACTGCCATTGAGTCGATTCCAACTCCTAATGACACAGGACAAAGCAGAACTGCCCTACAAGGTTTCCAAGGTTTCCAATCTTTACCGAAGCAGAATGTCACATTTTTCTCCTGTGCAGCAACTGGTGGGTTGAAACCAGTGACCTTTCAATTAGCAGCTGAGCACTTAACCACTATGTCATTAGGGCTCCTTTCTACAACATCTTAGGGAAAAACAAGTCAAAATCTCAGTAAGATACCACTTCTTACTCACTAGGATGGCTATATCAGAGAAACAGAAAACAGTGAGAATGGGCAAGATTATGACAAACTGGACCCCTTGTGAATTGCTGGTGAAAATGTAAAATGGTGCAGTCACCATGGAAAAGAGTTTAGCAGTTCCTCAAGTTAAAAACAGAATTACCACATAATCCAGTAATTCTACACCTGGGTATATATACCCAAAAGACCTAAAGCAAGGACTGAAACAGACACTTGTATATCCAAGTTCATAACAGCATTACTCACAATAAACAAAATCTATAATATCCATACCAAAAAGCAAACCTACTGCCATCCACAAACACAGGTATATGGGTAGATAGACAGGCAGACAGGCTGAACGATTAGGTATGTCTATGAAATGGGGAGTGTTTCCAAGAACATATATAGGGTTGGCAGACAATGGTCCTATAAGTTTATGTGAATGAGCAGAATTTCCAGGTGTACAGTAGAGCTGACAAGGGGCAAGGTTGTGGTCAATGCTTGGTCACAGCCAGCTACCCAGAGGGATTGAGTAGTTGAACTTGCGGGCTTGGGATCATAGGCGCAGGGGACATCAAGCTCAATTGCCATAACATACTATACAAAACACTGTTCCACCTCCTACTTTGGTGAGTAGAGACGGGGATCTTAAAAGCTAGCAAGCTGCCATCTAGATGCCACGATGGGTCTCTCCTCACCCAGAGCAAAGAAGAATGAAGAAAACCAAAAACGCATGGAAACAATTAGTCCTAGCGACTGGTACAACATCCGATCTGCAGCCTATACGACTATGAAACCAGAAGAACTAGATGGTGCCTGGCTACCACTGTCATCCCCTTGGAAGGGGATCTATGTAGGAGATCCTTGATAGAGATGGAGAACAATGTGGAACAAAACGCAAAATCATTTGGAGGGAAAAAAAAAAGGGGGGTGGAGGAGGACTGGGTTTGCTGGTCTGATAGAGCCTGGTGGAACCACTGAGACTATGGCCCCAAACTGCCCTTCAGGTCTGGAATTGAATTCACACCTGTGGTTTCCAGCCAAACAAAAGACAGGCATATGAGTTGAACATTTACCTCAAGTAGATACTCTCCTTGGAGAGAACAATCATGGGACAAAGAAGGGCTGCTTATGCACAGGGAGATAGCTCAGGGAGCAGGAGTTCATGGAGGGATGGACACAGGTAAGAGGTAACTATGGGGAGGAACTGGAAGGGGAGCTGTTGCATTGTGGTAACTGTGGTCAATGTCATGAGACAAAGTGTATGTGAAAAGAGCATGGAAAGTGAATTTGCTCGTAAATCTTCACCTAAATCACAATTTAAAAAAAAAAAAAAAAACTACTGCCATCCAGTCAACTCCAACTCATAGTGACCCTATAGGACTGAGTAGAACTGCTCCATAGAGGTGTCCAAGGCTATAAATCTTTACAGAAGCAGACTGCCACATCTTTCTCCCACAGAGCAGCTGGTGGGTTCAAATCACCAACCTTTTGGTTAACAGCCAAGCACTTTAACTACTGTACCACTAGGGCTTCTCACTACATCCATGCAATGGACATAAAGAGAAATGACATGCTACAATAGGAATAAATACTTGAAAACATTATGCTAAGTAAAAAAAGTCAAATACAAAAGGATAAATATTATATGATCCCATTTATATGAAATACCTAGAAAAGGCATAGACATCAAATTTCTTAGAGGATACCAGGGGACAGAAGGGAGGAGGATACAGGAAGTTATTTTTTAAGGGGTTTGGGACACTGAAAAACTTTTGGAAATAAGATAGTGGCAATGGATAGTTGCACAACATGGTGAATGTAATTAATGTCACTGAATCATTTAGTCCAAATAGAATTTGTTGTATATATACTTTACCACAACACAAAATAAAGCTGTTAAAAATAAGAAAATTAAATCTCTAACTCATCTTTGGAAAACAAATTTAGGAGTGTATGTTTGAAAATTTAAAATCTAGCACTCAAAAAGTTACTAGTCATCTATCTAGAATCCTCACTGTCCAAAATAACTAGATACCTGAGACTTGATTCCATCTAGGAATAACCTGGTAGCATAGTGGCTAAGGCACTTGACTGCTAACTAGAAGGCTGGCGGTTCAAACCCATCAGCCACTCCTCGGAAGGAAGGTTGGGCA